AAAGTCAGGTACGGCCGATATATGTGTGAGGGGTCGCCAGGGTCCGCTGGCTGTGAGGAGAACCTGCAGTCACGCGGCCTGAATCAGAGGAGGAATGTTGGTGTGAAAGCCCAGAGACCCCCTGTGTCCCACCGAAGGGTTAATTGTTTCCCAACCGACCTCGGTGCTCACCTCCCCTTCCCAGCCTCTTGTTGTCTCAACCCAGCACTGCAATTTTCTTGTCTTACTGTGTTCATCTCCTGTCCAAAAGCACCGACAGTACAAGCTGTTTAAAGCAGGTTGTGTAATTCAGTTTGACGACTTGGAAGATATTTGCTTTATTGTTGTTCTCTTCATAGCTCCCTCACGCCGTCTGTCTGTTTAATGATTGTCACTTCCCTTAGTGTCAGAGGCGAACACTTGCACTGCTCTCTGAGGACGAGGCGGATGTGTGTTGTTGACAGTACACACTCGGACAACACACACAGCCGAGGGTCGCATTAGGAGAACCAGCTCGACCGGCTCCGACAGCTGGACGTCGGCTGTCTTTTTTCATCCCCGTACATGATTATTATTCACCTGATTGTCAACCAGTCCTCGGTGCTCAAAGGGGACACGGGCTGGATGTCTTAGAAATGTGACGATGTTATAATATTTTCAATTTCTTTTTTCAGCTGCAGATTAATCCACATTCGGTGCTCTGATTGTTTCTGGCAGCAGGACGGTGTATTTAGGATTGACTCCAAATAAATGACAGTGCCCACGTTCATCGTGATGAGGGAACATGTCAACCAGTGCAACAGTGTGGCTCACTGATGGGTTTTTAATAGTTTTTGGACAATAATGGAGCTCTGTGCCACGGAGGAATAAGATTTATCAGCCTTTGAATACTTGTTAGGAGATACATTCACTGTTGGTTTTGGTCTTTTCGTGGGATTTATATTATACAGTAAGAAAATATAGAATATTACCAGACTACACTTCAGAGTCAAAATCACAAATCACAAATACAGGAAGTTGTTGTCTTGCCATAGTTTATTAGCTGGTGTCAACTTGACTTAAAGCACCTTAAGTGAACAATATTTTAGTGTAATATCTACCATTTGAAAGTGAGATGACAAATGTTTGTTTACACCAGTAGTTTTGGTGAATACAGCTGTAAAAGTGTGTCAGCATCTTAATCATTGCATTTGTGAATTTATCTGTAATTCATATGGTCAAAAAAAGTGCTGAGTATGCATTTTGATTATAGTATACAGTTATAATGAGAGTCTGCAGTCGTTGACTCCAGCTCGCTTGTTGCAGCGGTGGAGGGCCGAGAGGTCACAGCCGACACTAAGACTGTTACGTAACAGCGATCCTCTTAGCTGTCATTGGTTGGTGTGTGTTCATGTTGTCCCCGAACACATTGAGCAGGTCTACAGTGGCAACAGCACAACGCTGCAGCGAGCGGCGCTCCTCTTTCACCACTGTATTACCCAGAGGGACTTGTCAGAGAAAGTGGAGGGTTTAGAAGACTTCTGAGTAATGCCAGTTACTTTCTTAAAGCCTTTGTCTGCTGCAGAAAAGCCCTTTTAATTCCTAACCGCAGGGAACATGCCTCAACAGCCAGGGGCATCATTTCACCCTTCACTGGCTTTAAAGTCCGGTATCTTAATTCTAGACCAGAAAGTCTCAGTCCCTTTTAATTGTCCTCAGACCAGGAGGTTCTGGGTAACATTCATAGAACCGTCACCCTGTCTCATGTCACCCCACTCTACCCTGCCGGTGGCCTTTTGACTGGATCCAAGAAACGACATTTGAATAAACCCCCCACAGGTATGGGAGTCGAGATATAGTGACAGGATCGGAGGGAGGGAGAGAGAGAGAGAGAGGGAGAGAGGGGGAAACAGAGCAGGGGGAAGGAGAAATGGAGCAGTTGAGCCGGAGTCGACGGAGGAGGAGAAAGTGCCGCGGTTTCACATATTTGCTCAAGTAGATTACTCAGGTCTTTTTCCGGCTTTTGCTGCTTGTTTGCTTGTTACAGTCTAATCTTCGTTGTCACACACACAAACACACACACACGTACACCACGCCACACACAGTCACACACACTCAGGCGTTGGTTTATGCGCTGGTATGCAAAGTTTGTTCCCTCGGGCGAGCTTTCTCTCTCACTGCAGCTTATTTCATTCCGTGTTCCCTTCATGCTTCTCATTTTCCCCTCTGTGCTATGAATATCTCTGGAATAACACTGATGTCACTGACATTGTGTGTCAGACATCGCTCGTGTGGTTTCAACCCCTCCCACCAGCCTCTTTAAATACACCCCTGGCGGTGACGTCGTCTCAGAGTGGCCTCTGACTGATAGGCGGTGATGTTGGGCTGTGACGGGGCACTAACAGGATGCCCACAGCCGTGCTTTAAAGCCTACAGGGAGGGGACCTTTTTAAACGTTGTGGTTTCAGTGACTCTGTGCCACTTCCACCAAACCAGGTCACCCACCCAAACTAAGCAAGCAGCCTGCCGACCGCGCCTGTCTGGAGGGGCGGAGCTCTTGCTGAGCTGCAGAGCAACTGATAATAGATCAATCAAGCAGTCAAGTTTTATCATTTCTTTAATGCATCAGTGTAAAGTAGTTTAAAGTGGTTGAGTTGCCACAGAATATAATTACATATTTAGCATAAGGGTTTTTTTTATATGTTTCTCATGATTGTTTTATTAGAGTTCTTGTTGTTAAAACTTGGTTGAGTTTTGTGGTTTGTGCCTTCTTCCTGTGAAGTAGTTTGACTTTCTGTAGTTTGCCCAGTCTTTATAGATGGTGTATACATTGAGTGTTTCTCACCAAAGTGCATCGTGTGTATCCTTGAGGTGTAACAAACGTGTTGAGTGCATTTCCTTCCTTTTTTTTAAAAAA